TACACTGTATTAAACATTTTAAAAGATCAAGTGTGAAACTTCTTAAAGTCTATAGTTGACTAACATTTATGTTTCTACATCAAGTTTGTGATTTGATTCCCAAAAAAATACTAAAAATTATGCAAATGAGTGAATATTGAAGATATCTGCATGTATAATTGGCCATCGTGTTTTCAGTTGCATTGAGCTAGAGTTGTTCGTCGTAAAAAATCAACATTGTAATAAAATAAAAGATGTATTATAAATGATGTAGCATTTGATAAAGAATAACATTTAAAGATCAAATTCTACTAATTAAGAATTATTTTGTCGCATTACACAATTTACACTACATTAATTAATACAACTGTAAAAGTTTTTTATTTTTATTTTAAATAAAGCTTTTATTTCTTGGCTATTAAAACTGGAAATTATATGACTCTAGCATATATGATCGAATTATAATTTATATAAACATAACTAAGTTCCCCATTTAGATAAATAAGATGTAAACTGAATGGAACATGCATGTCTAGAAATAATGTCATAAAGCTGGAATGAGGAAATGTCGTGAGATCAACGGAGAAGAAAGTTAGAAAAAAGGAATGGTCTATTGAATTAATGCTCAATGTCGTATTAAATTCATAGTAATTATATCACAGAAATTTCAATAATATGACCCATATCACGATCTTCTCAGATCGATAATGTTATTGGTCGAGTAGATAATTAATAATAGTGTTATTGACATGTTGCACAAGTTTCCTTTAAATTGAGACTTTTGACTAACGTAACGTCCATCGAATTTGAAAGTTTCTAGTATTAAATAACATACGAAAGTTAAAAAGAAGTAAAGACTTTTTCTTGTTGTAATTATGAAATTAATGATGCACCATAACTAAAATTTGTACTTTAAAGAAGTGACTTGGGTGGTTAGTAGTTACATTTTTTTCCAATGCGCATGATGCAGATTCTCTAACCTCCCACTATTTACATTTACATTCAACAAAGATCCCATTCCCACGTGACTTTACAAAATGATTTAAGAAAAAAAAAACATCGAGTCTTTTGTTGAGATTGATTTTTATTTAACTATTGATTTAAAAAAACATTGTTAATTAAACGTAACTCATCAAATGAACGTGAAGGGTTTAATTGATAACTAATATACCGATGCGGTACCAATCACGGTACTACAAACGTTATCAAAACTATTACACTCAGTTTTGTCGTACCCATTTTTTTACGCTACTTCTTACAATTCTTGAATATTCTGTAATCGTTTACGCTAAAAATTTCATGGTCACCAATAGAACTTAAGGAAATACTATGAGATATCACGAATTCTAGCATCAAAGATGGAAAAATGACTCACATGTTCTAATCTGAAAAACTTATGGATCAAGTATGAATATGGAATTGACTTATATTGATCAAGAGATTATTATATACACTACAGATATAGAGAATCAAGCAAATAATGTACAGAATCATAGATTGAGTAATTAGGGAGATGTGATGACATAGTGTTAGGGATACGCATCCCTTGATATCTTGATCCAAAATTTATTGATTAACAAAAACAAAATTCCAATACGGACTTAAAAAAACCTTATCCTTCCCAACCAAACATACATAATATTTATATGAAACATAAAACATAATTAGATAGATAATAATCTCACTAAGAAATATGTATATGTACATTTTGGCATCTTCCTTGATAGTTTAAAATATTGATTGATAATTTCATAATATTTATTTTTGCATTGCTATTTAACTAATTAACCAACCAAAAGATGATTT